AAAGGTAGTGCGTTGCCTAAGAAAGCTGGACTTAGAAGGGAGGCTATTTTGACTCTTCCGGCGATCTGGGATCGATCTTGGTTATTGATCATAGGACTCACTAGTGACTCTCCCTTGACTGTAACCTATAGTGTAGAATCAAGGCGCCACATCATTAGAGGTGTAATTGGAGTTGATGAAATATTACACCCATGTGAGACATTTGATATAAATTTTGATAAATTTTTTTAAAATCTCTACCATTACATATATTATTTTGAAAAAATCAAGAATCCAATAATTATTTACAATTTTATAAAATATGAAATCAAATCAAATCATAAAAATGTTGAAATCCAACCAGTAAAATGTGATTTGATTGGGTTTGGAACCAAATCTAGACCAGAGAGTATTGTTCGGGTTTGTGAGGTCATCACGGATCCCATTTCGATAATTTGAGTTGTTATTTTTTGTAGGACCCTACATATATATTGGTCATAAAAAAATTATGTTAATCTAGTAGTCATATTGCCACAAAAAACAGAGAGTATATTTTGAAAAATAGACTTGTCATTTATTTTTTCAAAAACAAATATAATAAATTATAATTATTGGATCTATCTAAATTTTATGAATAATATATACAAAGAACCTCACTTAACCAACTAGGCCTAACCTAGTTGACCACCATATCTTTCTTAGGGTTTAGTCTCAATGAGGTCATGGGTTCAATTCCCTTTATGGGGGTTGAATTAAGGGAGTACAAGCACTTTGGTGCTCTGCCAATGATGGAGAGATTTTTTTCTATAGGTATTAATCTAACAACTAATAACTAGCATTTGCCGATCAAAATATATATATATATATATATATACGAAGAATCTCACAAAATGAACTGTTCGTATCATTAATATAATATGTTTAGTGGATTTCACAGATCCAAACAACACCACAAGTCCAAATTTTGGACTAGATGGAAGTCCAGCCCTTTCACTACTATATATAAACAATCTTGTGAAATTACAAGATTACATCTTATATTTATGTAACTAAATGGTTTGACAAGATTTTAAATCAAATGGGTAAATATAAAATTATTGACCAAAATCGTGAAATATGGTTCAATTGTTGTACGAGCAATGACTAAACTATGCACTGAGAAACTAAACTCAACTGTACAATTTGTTTTGAATCAGGTTAATTTGTGATCTTTATGATGTTTTTTCTCAACTCTGTCAAATAGTGTTATTTGCACATAGATAACACAAAAAAGTACAAAATTTTTTAAATGTTAGGCGAATTTAAATAAGAGAAAATTACACTAAAAATTAAATTTGAATTACACATTATTTAGCTATTTAAGTTTTTGTATTTTATTTTTATTTTTGTATGTATATGCATATTAAAATCCATCACATGAAAAGCGTTACTCTACTAATTAATTGGGTCGGTGGAAGGAGACAAAATCCACCTCTTTCTTCAATTGCTTTTACACATAACATAATGAGTCATTATTTGATAGATATTGGAGTACTGGGTTTTTACTATTTATCACTTGATACATGTCATAAGAATGGATGCAGGGGGAGGGGGTGTAATTGCACACTCAAAAATTATAAAAATTATGTATATTATATTAATAATTAGTAAAATAATTTTAAAAGATAAAAAATTATATGTATTTTTACCACTCTAAAGTTCGAATCTTTGATCCGCCATTGACTTATCAAGTTTTTTCCTACAAATCTAACAAAAAAGACTTTAAATCATTTTAAGAAAAATCACTCTGAAAGATTCTGACTCATATAACTTAGCTCTGAATAACACGTCGGCACATAACCTAACCTTGAATGACATGTCACTAACGTATTTTGTTGGCAAACCATTTAAACACACCATTTACAAAAAGATTAAAAAAAAAAAAATTAGATAAGGGCGGCTTAAATCAAACGGAAAGATAATTGGTCATGTTGTCTTTTCCAAAAAGACACAAAAGAGTAATGTTTAGGGATATAAAATATTTTATCAAAATTTTGATTTAACACTCACATAGGTGTGAGTGTCTCACATGGATGTGGGTGTAGGACCTACAGTCATGTGAGTGTTTGATAAAATATTTAAGATTTCTATTATTTTTTGACACAAAAATAGGTGTTTGGATTTTTTTTAACGGCTTGTTTATTTTTTATAAATTAAAAAGGCTAATGTTTTTAGAAAGTTATAAAAAAAACTGATAAGATATTTTATCATCATCATCAAATACATATAAGAGCATCTCCAATGATTATTGTTATAATACCATTGCTATTGCTATAATTTGACAATAAATAGTAGTAATAAAAAGGGAGGAACTAATGTGTGAATCCCCTTAACAAACACAAGATTTTATCAAAGTGAGCATTTTCCATTGTTATTGATTTGATGAACCATCTATACCAATGTCTATGCTGCTGGGTTGCCGATATGGTTGGGACTGCCTTCGAGAGGGCTTGATCCCTTTTTAGTGTTCCATTTTACATGTTTGTTTATTTTTTTTTTTCAGAATCATCAAACTAAAAACACAAGATATGCCAAATTATATCTCAAACAAAACAATCAAGTTCAAAGGATCTTTCTTTGTTAATATTGTTTAAAGTTAGATTAATATGTCGGCCATATTTGATTTGATTTTCTGAAAGAATCTTCTAACTAGTTAAAAAAAAAAAATGTGTGGATAGATTTCTGACCACTCTGCCAAATTAGTATTCAATTGGAAAGCACTGGCAGAATAGATGACACCTAAATGACTTGTAACAGAAAGATGAGATTCCAACGGTGGTTTGTCCACCCGGGGGCACTCTGACGATCAAGTCAGTTATCTCTCAAAAATAGTAAAAGTGCTTAACTCACTATTCAGAATACAAAAAGCGTACCTTAGACCCATGGGGGTGCCTCTCTTTCATAATCATCACAAACCTAATCACAATAGAAGCCTAACTTCAATGGACTTTGGATTACTGCTAATCTTGGACTCCTAGTAGGATTGGGATAAATTCTATAAGAGTCTTATCTTTGTTCAAACTGAAGCCTTCCCTCGTTCTAGGACTCTTGTCCCCCATCTGCTTATCCCAGACTCCGGTATCTTCGGAGATAACCTCGGCCTAACCGAGATTAGCTCGGCGTCATGATCAGGACATGTGGCACCTCGGCTGTCACTTCGATGTTACCTTGGCCATGTGTCGCTACTCAAAAATTATATTCCTGCAATTACCCCCTAGGCTCTATTACCTCGGCATCCTGAGGTGATAAAACCTATATCATTCCTTCATTTTAGTATATCGACTAAGCTTGCCTTACCTTTCATTCCCGAGGTCACCACCCGGGGCCCCATATGACTAAGATCTGTAATCTGTTTTCTCCAATGCCTTAGAACAAATAATCAAGTCGGTTCAAATTATTTAGCCGAGATCATCCTCATAGCCGAGGTCTTTGCTTCATTAAACCATCCACTTCAAGAGATTCGTCATACGGGTGAGCTGTCACACACAGCAACCCAACCGTTTTAGCCACGCGTCTTCCCCTCACTGGATCGTACTTGATACGCGTCTTTAAGTCATCTTGTGTCTGGGTGCGCCGTCTGACAAGCACGTCGCCCTAGGCGTATTGATGGTATTTTGCTGCTATTCTCCACGTTTGATCAAAATCAACTCTCTCTCTCCGTCTTTTCACTTTTTCACCATCATCTTCGTGCAAACTCTCTCTCTCTACTCTCCCAAATCCACCATTGCTTCAAACCTTCAAGCTCTGTAACTACTTTCATTCCTCCCCTCCGGTGAAGCTTTCACTGACTTTTTCCGATTGCAACCATTATCTGACTCCGGCGTAATCAACACCGGCTTCACTCCTCTGGTAAGCCACTGTTCCTTCTTATTTAAATTTCTTGTTTTACTTCAAAGAACTCCACTGTTGTACTCGCTGCCTTTGCGTGTTTGCTCACGCCTTTGATCGTTAATTTGTGTTTTGGATTCTATCATGTACTTGAGCATGTTCGTTTTATGGCTCTGTTTTTGCCCAATCCATTCTTGAATATACCAACACTGCTTGTATATCTGTTGATTTTTGTCACTGTTCTTGGCCTCACACACCTGTATAAACTTTATCACTATGTTCTTGATTCTGTATCGCATTCCTGTTTTTGTTTGCTGTGTTTTTTTCCAAATTCTTGCCTTCAATCTTCATTTGCCTAAACTTAGGTTTGGGATTTGTTTGTAGAACATACGAACCTTAGGTAGAATTGAAACAAATTCCCCTTAGATCCTCAAAAATTCTTACCACAATACACATTTAGGTTTTGGCCGAGGTCTTTCAAACCTTTACAAAAACACTTCTTCCTGAAATCCAACACCTTCCCCCAAGCCGATATCATGGGTATGCGGAGGCATAAGGTAGACACCCCAACTAAGTTAGAATACTTCAGGCAGGAGTTTGATATCCCGGATGACGTCCATCTCAGGTTGGCTGGGGAGGATGACTCTATCATGCCCACAGCCGACTCCATGCCCTTCTTAGTTGTAGCTTTCGTAGAGTGTGGACTTAGGCTCCCACTTGACATCCTTTTCCGAGAAATCGTTCATTACTACAAGTTGAACCTAATGTAACTCGCTATCAACTCTTACCGAGTTATCAACAGCATAATTTCCCTAGCCAAGAAAGAGAAAGCTAGGGTAACCTTAGTCGACATTCAATACTGCTACACCATGTGTGGCCTTAAGTTAGAAAAATACTATATTTACTACCTCAAACTGAGGTCCACAAAATACAAAATTGTTGCCAACCTCCCAGACTCCAACAAGAGAGCCGGAGACGATTACTTCATTGTCTCGGGCAACTGGGAGTTTGCTCTAGATGAGGACCTTCACCTCTGCCCTCTTAGCCGAACAGTAATCGTAGAGGGTAACGGTAAGAGCCAAGTGTTACACTTGTTTTTTAAATCTTTAATGCTTTGTCCTTTCTATACGTTTTAACATCTGTTTTTCTTACAGCTCTTCCACAACCAGCAAAAGACTTTCGTAAGTCCTTCTTTCCGAGCAAGGGCTTGAAGAAGCTGTTGGATCTGCCAGTTCACAAGCGGAGAGCTCCCCTACTGCTCAACTACATCCTGACATACAAGTCAGTCCTTCCCGATATCCCAAAGAAGAAGAGCAAGTCTCCCCATTCCGCCACAACTCCTCCAGTAACTTCATCATCTCGGCTAGATCAGGGATCAACTTCCAATCCAACTAAGCAATTATCAACCTTGGCTCCATACTTGATCCCTCTATCTCAACGCAAACGCCAACGCCGAACTGCTATCACTTCCGAGATGGGTCGCAAGAAAGCAATTGTAGAAGACCTTTTGGCTGACATCCCCGACATTGTCAACGCTTAACCAGCACAGCCTCAACCAAAACCAAAGCCCAAAAGACTGAAGAAGGCCCAACCTAAGGCAACGGTAACTCAGATTGACACTGAGGACACCTTGCCAATTTCAAAGTTGGCTGAGAGTGAGAAGACCACTTATGCTGCCGAGAAGAGGCCCGCTGAGGCTGAACCATCCCAATCAACCAGGTCGAAGAGACCGAGGTTCGAGCCTGCAACAACCTCGGGTGCTATGAAATCGGATGCCCCCTGGGCTACCCCCATTACAATTGAGGACAAGCCGGTTAGAGCTGGTGACAGCACCGACGACATTGAAGTCGGCATTGCCCTCTCTACCGCCTTACTTCTTCCCAATGATCTCGAGCGCAATGCCGGGATGAGCGAGTATGAGAACTTTGCTCTGATGTTGCAACGCTTGATCCAAGTAAGCCCTTAACACTTTGTAATTTTTCATTTTCTTTATGCTATCTCATACTTAGAGTTTTACTAACTTGTTCTCTCCATTCCTTGTAAGCAACCCAGCATGGCCACTCCTTTGCGATGCAGGCCTTTGTCCTTAAAAAGGAGTTGGCGAATAAGGCCAAAGAGGCTGCTGGCTTATAGAAGATTATCAACAAGGCCAAGGAAAAGATGAAGACCTTGGCAAACCAAGCCGAAGCGACTAAGAAGGCTCAGGATGAGGCCGAGGAAAAGGCTGATGCTGCAGAGGCCATTGCCAAGGTCCTTACAGCCCAAAAAAAAGAGGCCGAGGCCAAGATGGTTGAGGCCCAAAAGGAGCTTCAACATGCCCTGGCCACAAAAGAGGCCGAGATCAAGGCCGCCGATGAGAGGGCGTATGCCGAGAGGGCGGCCGACGTCATGGAGGACTACAAAAAGCAAGTGAAGTAGGCATGCAACAAGGGTTTCACCCTTTGTTGGATGGCTGTCCTCAAAAAGCTTGATGTCCCTGAGGACTCCCCCCTCAAGAATGCTGACGACCTCCCTCTGCCATTTCCCCCTACTCCAAGCTAATCCGAAGACGATTCCGAGTCCGAGGAGAATGCTTTGGTTAGGAAGAAGGACGCTGCTGGGGCCCAGTTCCCCACTCTGAATAAGCATGTCGTAGACTTGTCTCAGGATGACGAGGCCGGGGTCTCCAAAGACGCTACTCCTGAGAAGGTAACATCGGATGCGCCTATTGCCAACAAGAGCCTCGACCAAACTTTTCAAGAAATTGATGCCGAGTTCGCGGCTGAGAGAGCCGCCGAGATATCTTCTCAGCTGTCTTCTGAACTCCAGACCCAACCAGCCAGAGACGCCGAGGAGTTTTAATTTGATGTCTTTCTCTTTTTTTCTATACCTTGTACTTTTTCCTTTCTTTTTGAAACAATGTAAGCTTTTATTTGGTTGATGTTCCTTCACCTATGTTGAATAAGTAATCTCCAATATTAGGCCGAAGTGCTTTTGTATTTGAACTTCCTTATCTGAATGCAAGTATAACTTTCTTCCCTCAATGTGATTGTATGTTTGTCTTCCTTTTACTGTCTTGTATGATTCTATACTTACAATAATTTTCATGTTTTCAACATTCACTTTAATTGTGTAATCTTCACGGTGTGGAATACTTTGGTTGTTCCCACTAACAGCTTATTTCGGCTCTGACCTAACACTTGAAAATATTCATACTATTTTCACAAGTGTTATTTACAACTTGCCACTTCGCTCAAGACCTCTGTCTTCATTTATTGTAGCAAAATCTTGGGTTAACTTCAACTTATAAATTTTTCTCAAAATTTCAACAAGCGATTAAACCATCTTCCTTTAACATAACCTCAGCTTAACTTTAACTTGTAAATTTTTCTCAAAATTTCAACAAGTGTTAAACCATCTTCCCTTAACATAACATCGGCTTAACTTCAACTTATAAATTTTTTTCAAAATTTCAACAAGTGTTAAACTATCTTCCTTGTAAATTTTAACTCCCAAGCATTATTCTCTAACCCTCTGCCCCCTAATGTGAACCTAAGTTCCACTTGGGTTCTCATTAGGCATGTGGCTTTTGATCTTGTCACCGAGGTCAGATTCAAACAAAGACTGGCTGAGGTTACCAACATCTATCTCTTTGTTAATCTGACTGGCATGCACTTGGCTCCAATCTGTGTCTGATTTTGCCGATATGACAAGTCCAGGTTAACCCAACTTAGTTCAACTCTATTATATGTAAGTAAAGTTTCTACTCTGCCATATAATAAGTCTAAGTTATTCGTCATGTTTCAATTAGAAACATCGTCAAGTACCTGTTTAGTCACCATACAAGTTTAAAAATCAATCTAAAAACTTTTATTAATACTTCAGCTAATAACAAGAGAAAGCTTGAAAAACAATAAGATCTAGTGATAGAAAAACTTCAGATTGCAAGTATTCCAAGGTCTTGGCAGCTCTTTGCCTTCACAATCCTCAAGCCGATATGCCCCATTGCCCCAGACCGAGATGATTCTATAGGGTCCTTCCCAATTCGGGCCAAGCTTGCCTTCTCTGGGATCCTTCTTGTTGCCGACGACCTTTCTCAAGGCGAGGTCATTAATTTGGAACTCTCGCGGGTTCACCTTCTTATTATAAGCCCTGGTAAGCTACTGCTGGTATGCCCCCAGTTGAATTGCTACTTTTTCCCTTCATTCCTCTAGCAAATCCAGATCTCAGGCTAAGAATGCCTCATTCATCCCATTTTCTACTGCCTGAGTTTTGATCCCTGGGATGCCGACCTCCAATGGAATTACTGCCTTTGTGCCATAAGCCATGGCAAATGGGGATTCCCCCGTTGATCTTCTCGGCGTAGTCCGATATGCCCAGAGTACATTGGGCAACTCGTCCACCCACTTTCCCTTTGCTGCTTACAGCCTCTTCTTAATTCCATCCAAGATGACTTTGTTGGATGCTTCTGCTTGTCCATTGCTATGAGGAAAACTTGGGGTGGAAAAATAATTCTTAATTTTGAACTTTGCACAGAAGCTCTTGATTAGCTTACTATCAAACTATGTTCCATTGTCAGCTATTATTGCTCTTGGGATCCCAAACCTAGTGATGATGTTCTTCCAGATGAAGTTCTTCACATCAATGTCCCGAATCTTGGCGAGGGGTTCAGCTTCTACCCATTTGGTGTAGTAATCTGTTGCCACCAGCAGGTACTTCCTTTGTCCAGTTACTTGAGGTAGTTTTCCAACAAGATCCATGCCCCATTGGGCAAATGGCCAAGGGCTGGACACTTGGTTCAAGTCTGCTGCTGGTTGATGTATCAAAGGTGCAAACCTTTGGCACTTCTCACACTTCTTGACATAAGCTTCAACATCTTTCTACATATAGGGCCACCAGTACCCTTGAGTAATGGCCCTATGAGCAAGTAACCTGTCCCCAGCGTGGATTCCATATACTCCTTCATGTATTTCGTAAAGAAAGTCTTCAACCTGCGCAAGATGCACACACCTCAGAAGGGGTCCAGTAAAAGATCTTTTGTAGAGATGTCCTTCTGCTGTCAAATAGAACCTTGCCGACTTCAGTTTGATTTTGTGCGCTTCTTTTCGGTCATCTGGTAGTTTCCCATCTCGAAGGAATACTATTATTGCATCAATCCAGCTTGGTCTCATTTCCACACACATTGCTTCATGCTCTGTGTTCAATGTTTCTATACTTGGTCTTGGCAAGTGATCAACCATTATTGTTCTTGCTTTTCCTGGTTTCATTGCACTAGCCAGGTTGGCCAGGGCATCAACATGGCTGTTGTCATCTCGGCCGACTTGCTGTAATCGGCAATTTTGGAACAATGCCATCAGTTTGCCCACTTCCTTTACATAGGCCGACATCCTTTCATCTCGGGTTGCATACGCACCTGTTGCCTGGTTGATTATAAGCTGGGAGTCACAGAAGACTATTACCTCGTCAGCTTCTATAGTTGCTGCCAGCTTTAATCCTGCTATTAGTGCTTCATACTCTACTTCATTGTTTAAGGCCTTAAACCCCAGACGAATGGATTGCTCCAACATCTGCCCATCTGGAGATACTAGCACTACTTCTGCCCCCGCTCCTTGTCAGTTTGAACTTCCATCAACAAACAATCGGAAGGAGTCGCCGATGTAAATACTGCGGGGCCTGAGTTTCTCTTTGTTCCTTTGTTCTGTTGTCCCCTGCTGGGTTTTTTCTTACTCGTTCAGACGTTATATACCTCGGCTTAACGAAGCCCGATGTATGACGGCATCTGGTGTGAACTTGGCCACGAAGTCGGCTAAGACTTGGCCTTTGATTTCTATCCTGGGTCTGAATTCCAGGTCATATTGGCCTAAGGCCACTGCCCATCTGGCTATTCTGCCTGTCAGATTTCCTTGCTGCAACAGGGACCTTAAAGGATGTTCAGTTAACACCACAATTTTGTGGGCTTGAAAGTAATGATTCAACTTCTTGGAAGCCATTACTAAAGCCAGTGTTAACTTCTCCAAGGATAAGTATCTGGTCTCTGCATCTGCCAAGATTTTACTTACGTAGTAAACTGCCTTTTGCTCTCCCTTTTCTTCTCTAACTATTACTGCACTTACTGCATGCGCTGAAACTGCCAAGTATAAGAACAGCTCTTCTCCAGGTACTGGATTAGAGAGGACTGAAGCTGTGGTCAAATACTTCTTCAAGTCAGCCAAGGCGGCTTCGCACTCTTCTGTCCATAAGAAGTCTGCGGCTTTCTTTACTAAGCTGAAGAAAGGTTTACACTTGTCAGAGCTTTTACTTATAAATCTGTTTAGGGCTGCAGCCCTTCCAATTAACATCTGCACTTGTTTTGCCGATGTTGGGCTCTTCAATTCTAAGATGGCTTTAATTTGATCCGGGCTAGCCTCAATGCCCCTTCTGGTAACCATATATCCTAAGAACTTACCAGACCCTACTCCAAATGCACACTTCAATGCATTGAGTCGGAGCCGATATGCCCTAAGGATGTCAAAGACTGCCTTCAAGTCTTCCAGATGACCTTCAGGTTCCTTGGTCATCACG